TATGCCAATTTTAGTGAAAAAGTAAAACCGAGATGATGGATGAAGCAAGAAAAAAGTTTTTTCTTTTAATACTTAAAAGTACTATTTTATTATCTTATTAAAAATGTACTATTTAGGTGTGCTATATATGTACTATTATGCTTATCAGAGTATTGTCCGATTAGAGACATGCTTAGATAACAATACAACTCCCCCATAAAGAATACTTGTTTTGTGTGAAGTGTGGAGTCGCTGTCTGTGTAGGTTTATGAAGTTCCATCTTGGTTAGGATGCCGCCCATGTTGGCGCCTTTATCTGGAAGTGTTGTTTGATGGGTTGCAGGTTCTGATCCCTTTTCTGTAAATCTCCCCATTTGTCCTCCTCTGTAGTTAAAGTGAATTACCAAACCCCTACTATCAGATGTGCCTCATAACTGCTCCCACAATCAGGTAGTGATTGAAAAGAATTAGAACAAACCCAGCATTGACTGCAGTTTGTCTCTGAGCCAGGTGCCTTTGATGAGAACAGTAAATGACCCACTTGTTCTGTTTTAACAACAGTAATCTCAGGTTACGTTAGCCTTAGTTTAAGGCCAGTGAGAGAGGGAAGAAAGTCAGCCAGTCAGTGCTGAGTAGATCTTCAGCCAATAGATAAATGAAGGCAGTAAAAGAATGGGTGGTTTTGTTTTCAAGCCAGGTGGAAAGTTTTAGCCTCACAATAAAATCAGCCTGCGTTGGAAACACATTTTGCATAAAGACCTGAGAGATGTTTGTTTTTTGATGTTCTTCGGTCGTGGACCAAATATTCTGACTTGAAAGTGTGTGGATGATACCGGTCAAAGTTTATGGTGTGAGCATGAATCAATAAATTGATGCCATAAATCTACCAATTGGTATTTAAAGTGATACTACACATGCTCCAAATCTCCATTGATTAGAGTGCAGTGGTTCAGAGATTTTCAAGTATGTGTGTCGTTTCAGTGCAAACTGAAGTATATAGTTTAAGTATGCACAACTGGCTTTATCTGCAAATATGCCAGAATGCATTTAATTTTTCATTCTCATACACTTACCATTCAAAAGTTTGGTATCGGCATGATTTTTGAGAGAAGTGTCTCTTATGCTCACCAAGGCTGCTTTCTTTTTAATAAAAAAAATATATTAAAAACAGTAAAATTGTGAAATATTATTACAGTTTAAAATAACCCTTTTCTATGTGAATAGGTTTTAAAATGTAATTTATTCCTGTGATCAAAGCTGAATTTTCAGCATCATTCCTCCAGTCTTCAGTGTCACATGATCCTTCAGAAATCATTCTAATATGCTGATTTGGGGCTCAAGAAACATTTCTTAATATGATCAAGTTTGACAACATTTATTTGAAATTAAAGAAATTTACAATAATGTTACAAAAGATCTTTTCTGTCACCTTGGATCATTTTAATGCATTTTTAATAAAATAAAATCTTTAAAAAAAAAAAAAAACTTTTGAATGGTAGTGTGTGTTTTTGCTAAGAGATTGTTTTAAATTGATGTGAATTGTCAATGTAACTACTAGTTAAAATGTAGGTATCACCTACTTTGGTCCAAGGCAATCACAATTTGACATCTGAAAGTCAATTATGACAAAGATATTTGTAAAATGATAAACAATGGCTTCAAAATGACTGTTGAATTCAGCTGAAGTTAATTCTTGTATCTGTTTGTGCAGTTTGCTCACTGACCACTGGAGTCACTAAAATGAAAACACCAGTACAAGTATGCATAGCTTTGATAGAAAGTTTTGAACGTTTTTTTTTTTTTTGTAAATCCTGATGAAGGAAATTGTATTAACTGTGGCAAAAGCCCCTTTTTTGTATGCAGCTTTTATGCATTAGGCCCCACGGTCCAAACCACCATTTTAAAATAATTGATCTACACTTCATTGCATCTGCAGATTAACCCAAATAGCCTTGGCCCTTGTCATGGGGAAAAAAAACATTAAAGTGTTCATTAATCGCTTTAAAAGAGAAATTTATCGAATCCCAGGGATCCCTTCTGTGTGGCCTGCTGTTATGGTTACAGTAGTTCAAAACCAAGCAACACTTACCAAGATATCCTCAAGGCATGTCAAAAACCTTAAAGAAATGAGTCACTTGGAAAAAAGTAACTGTAACGAATGACTTATTAAGAGAAGCTCTGGAACAAAAGAATAAGTCTTAAACATTTCATACTCTGAATCGGAAGCTTGTATAATACACTTTCTGTTAACAGTTGCTAATGTATCTCTTTGCTTATTTGCACTGAATGTTTCCCAGGACTGTAGCGTGCTGCTTTTGTAATTATGACATAATAATGGAGGCAGATCTGTAATTAAATCTCAGCGATCTGGCTTGAAATGCATTCTCTTCCTCCTAAATGCACAGCTTTTGCTCCTCCTCTCATTCCCATGTGCATTGTGCACATACTGCCATTGTAACAACAGCCAGATTTACTTGTCCCACAATGTTAAACGACACAGTTGGGGGCCTTTCATTGTGTCAATGTCCCTATAAAATTACCCGTTTGCCTTCAGCTTGAGCTGGTTAGACACTCCTCTGAGAAGAGCACAGACAGCCGCTGTGGGCTTTAACGGTCTTTATTAGGCTTCTAGCTATACTCAGGTCACCGGCAGTGGAAAAGTAAAGCCGATTCGCCCATGCCCCAGCTCCTGCGACCGAGGATGACAGCTGGTTACCAGGAGCACACTGGCCTAAATCCAACCACCTACACCAACAAGCATGCGCTGCTTTTGTAGAAAACTCGTGGATGGACATATGTGGATAGTTTGAAAATTCATGGATGTATGCATTGGTGGTGCATTATTTTAGGTTTCCAAAAAAGCTTTCCTAATCTGAAAAGCATCGCACTTGTTGTTGGTAATCCATATTTTTAGCTGGTTTGTCAGAGCGCTCAGTGCTCCATCCATGAATACGTCTGCTTAACCTTTGCACACGACTTACTGCTAGAATATACAGACCGACTTTTTATGACTAAGTTCCCTTGACTGTTTTTTCACAGTCTCCTCACTATATTCTCACCATCACTGAGTGCCGTTATTAGTGGTGTTTGCTAAGGAAAGTGTCACTTTAACTGTTGCTCATTCTGAATGTGAACATGTTAAAAAGAAGTGTCTTGTAAAGTTGTTAAAATCCTTTCTAAACTTAGCATTTTCAAATTAAAATCAAATAGTGTGATAATGGCTTTACTGTATATCGGCCAGCGAAAAATCTACGGACGGTCGACCACTTATAATAATAAACCAAATAATATTTAAAGTAAGTTGTGTTGTTCCAAACTTTATAGTATATGAACAGTAATCACATTTTATTTGTATGCTGTTCATTGATGCTTTTGCAGTGCTGTTTGGGTACGTGGCTGAAGTATTCTTGCCCTCATTAGACTAAACTCTATTATCTGTGTTATTAGGGTGTGGTAGATGCTAAACAGGGTTAATGCTTTCAAAACCATCAGTAAAGAGAAGAAAGTGGCCAGAGAAGAGATTAAGGAGCCAGAGATACTGACAGAGAAGAAAGAAGGACACAGACGGCTTTAATAACACTTAGGGGATTAGTTCAACCAAAAATGAAAGTTCTGACATCATTTACTCACAATCGTGTTGCTCCAACTTTTCTAGACTTTCTATTTTTTCTGTGGAAGACAAAAGAAGATATTTTTAGTGGAATGCTGATCATTCCTCGTAGTTACACCGATTGGAAATGGAGATATCAAGCAAAAAGTAGTGACTTGTACGCTATTTAATTTTGTGAGTTCAGAGACGTTATGCCCATTCAAACTGAGGCACGTGTCCCCTTAGATTTCTGAGCCCAAATGGATTTTAATGCAGCTTCCAAAAGACCAAAAAAAAAATATTTAATTTTGATAATTAACCCTTTGAAGCGTACAATCACACTGGCGTCATTAGAACTGATCAACTGCTAAATTCACATCTGCGTTCACACATTGGCTGCTGAACCAGAGACAGACACACTCGGTGCTTGTCATATAATACAATTGTTCAGTGTTTTCAACCAGATAATGTTTATTTCATGTTTTTGACATTTACATACAGATATGTAGCAAACATTTATAGTGTGTAAAATATCAATTATGTCTATGGAAGTGGCAATAATCAAATGAACCAAAAAACTAAATGAACCGATTCTTTGAAAAGATCTGACTAAAAGAGATTTGTTCACAAATGACTACTTCTGTCATAAATTATAATGAACATGCCAAGGAAGTACAGCAGATTTCAAGGTTTTTGTGAATTAGTGTTTAAATTTGGCCTTGTTCTGAAATTTAGGAATCCGAGTCTTATGGATCACTTATGATGTGTTTTTGATTAATTTATTTGTATTATTTATTTCATTTCATTTCATTTATTTATTTGCCATTTTTTGGACTTGACAGATTTGATTATTTTAAAAAGAGTGGCCGGGACATTCTTGTAAATTTCACCTTTTTGTGTTTCCACAAATAAAAAAAATAAAAGAAAGTGAACTATATCATTGAACACCGAATGAAAACCCAACAGAAGCGACTCCATTCAGTGTAGCTTTATCTCCATTTATATGATGAGGAATAAAAGCACCTCTGTTCCTTTACTGTCTGCTAGTCAGCTCAATGTGTGGAGCTTATTATGTAGAGTGTCATAAACCCACATACACACACATTTTCTAAAGAGAAACACTGTTTCATACTTGCACACACATATGCTAAGAACCATTTATGAAATGCACATGTTGGCCTGCTGTGACAAGAACTTGGCTGTCAGAACACAGTGTATTTCAGACAGACTTTCCATGAACACACACACACACACACACATGAACAAACATAGACAGAGCACCATAACGCCCACACGCACTCTTTTAATGCCTCTTAGTGAATCTTTCATGGAAAACCATGTGCGAGTCCGATGCATCTGTGAGTGTGCGAGAACTCTGATCTGAACATTATCATTCATACATAACATTTATATTTCTCTTTTTGTCTCTCTAGTCATTCCAAGGCAGCCAGGGACGAGCCTACCTCTTTAATTCAGTGTAAGTAATTATCTCATTCACATCAACAATTTATAGCATTTTCTTGTTGTGAATTAAGACGATACACTATTGTTTAAAAGTTTGGGGTCAGTAAATGTTTTTTTTTTTTTTAAGAAATTACTATTATTCAGCAAGGATGCATCAAAAATGATAAAAAGTGACAGTAACGACATTTATAATGGCACAAAGGATTTCTATTTTAAATAAAAAATATTAAGCAGACAGTACGACAATTTTTAACATTGATAATAACAGGAAATGTTTCTTGAGCAGCAAATTAGAATGATTTCTGAGGATCATGTGACACTTGTAAAGACTGGAGTAATAATGCTGAAAATTCAGCTTTGCATCACAGGAATAAATTAAAATGTAAAAATATATTAAAATACAAAAAGTTATTTTAAATTGTAATAAAATACAAACTATTTCATATTATACTATATTTTTGATCAAATAGATGCAGCCTTGGTGAGCATAAGAGACTTCTTTCAAAAACATTAAAAAATCATTCTGATCCCAAACTTTTGAACGGTAGTGTATATAAGGGAGAATGTTTCTGGATGTTATTGCAAAATAAACCCAGACGGAGTGCAAAGCAGAGGGGTCTTGTATCACCCTGAAGGGGTTTGTTTTGCGAAAATGACCGGTTGACTGCACATTATCCCTTATATCTCTGTCTGAGACTCATAGAGGAATGGCTATAGCTGTTTTGCATATTACAAGAGCTGTAGGCCTAAACATAGCACTGCTATCTAATGATGCGAGTTGATGATTCATCATATTTAAGCATTGTGCTACCAGTGTGTTTAAGCTAGCGCTCTGGTGTGTGTGAGATATTACGATGATAAAGTCGAGGTTGACTGTTCGTGTTAGTGACCTGTGACATTCCTCAGGCAATTCACAGACTGAACAGCGGTGCACAAGTGTTAAGCACTGCCATTGCAAAAATAAAGAGACCGCTGTCATCACATGTGGAAGTTTCGGCTTCAAAATGTAAACGCAAGATAGATTATTTTGTTAAGAGAGCTTTGGTGTCCCTTGAAATATTCTGAATGCTGAAATGAACTGAATAATACAATATTTACCAATACAGACGTTATGAAATTGAATGTGAGAATTGCATTGCATAAAATATAGTTGGCTGCAAAATTAGGTCACTCGTGTTATAAATGCACTGGAAAAGCTTGTTTATGCACGTATCAATATTTACAGATATATCATACGCTACTGTTCAAAAGCTTGGGGTCAGTAAGAATTTTTAGATTTTTTTTTTTTTTTTCAAAAAATGTATACTTTTATTCAGCAAGGATGGATTAAATTGATCAAAAGTGACAGTAAAGACATTTATAATGTTCCAAATCATTTCTATTTTTATTAAATGGTGTTCTTTTGAACTTATTATTCATCAGTGAATACATTTTTTTGCAGAAAAAATGCATCACAGTCTCTACAAAAATATTAAGCAGCACAACTGTTTCAGCACAAAATTGATAATAATCATAGGAAATTTTCCTGAGCAGCAAATCAGCATCACAGGAATAAATGACATATTAAAATGTTAAAGTAAAAGTTATTTTAAATTGTAATAATATTTCACAAAAATATTATGATATTTTTGCAGCATTGGTGAACACAAGATAATTCTTTCAAAAACATTAAACAAATCTTACCAGCCCTAAACTTTTGAATGGTAGTTTAGTATTCATTATGTATTTAAAGAAGTTTTGACTATAACATCAAATCCAGCTCATTATGCATCTGATCCCCACCCGCTAATTTAAATAATCTTTTGCTTCTAAATTTGTAACATTACTAACATTGAACCCCATCAAAGACAAGCAGAACTGTGTAAATCATTTGTAAATCTATTCTTATGTCATTTGCATTTAACTGAATGCTGCAGTTTGTGTATGTATGGTTTCTAAAATCACCCATGCATAGTCTTTTTTTAAATGCCAGTGGATTTATGTTAAAAAAAAATGTTATTTTAAACATTTATTATAACAAAAAGTTATCCTAGCTGTGTCCAAGTCTCGTTTCACTTTGATGCTGCATGGCCGTTGGTCTCTTCACATCTGCTGTAGTACAGCTTCTGACCTACTTAGTGGTCATCCAGTAAAGGTTACCCACAATGACTTTCAGAAAACAACAGCTCAGTCATACGAATCACCATTTTGACCACTGATTAACCTCTTTTCCCTCAGTGTGAACGTCGGTTGTGGTCCAGCGGAGGAGAGGGTTCTCCTAACAGGTTTACATGCTGTGGCAGACATCTACTGTGAAAATTGTAAAACCACTCTGGGCTGGAAATACGTAAGTTGACTCTCCTTCCATTACACACAAATTATAGACTATTATTTTAAACTCCTGCATTTCTTTTCCTTGCATCACAATACAAGCTGATTTTTGTTTCAAGGTGTTGCACTTTGCGGATATGTGCTTGTCAGAGTGCTTGTTCTGCAGTTGGCTAATCTGAGCTGTGTGGGTTTCTTTATTTTTGTCTACTGATATCCTGTTACTTAGCTGGGCTCCAGTGACCAGAATTAACATGCCCTTGCATTGACTTCTCGCTGCAGTCCAGCACAGATATAGCTCTATATATGTCTTTATTCACAGCTCAATTACGGCCCACTTTGATGCTGTAAGTGTTCTCGCTGTTGTGTTTTCTTAACTGCAGACACTTAATAGATCAGTACCAATAACACTTCATAATAACGTTTGTTGATAAATCCTTAAACAGACACTATCTCATAACTCAACAGATCTGTGATGTGCATTTAAAATAGTTTGAAATATCATGAAAATAATACTTTTATTCAGCAAGGACACATTGCATTAGTCAAACAGTAAAGACATTTATACAATAAATTACATTTTAAAATATACATTTTAAGATAGAAAACCGCTATTTTAAATTAATAATCTTAAGTAGTAATATTTCACAATATTAGTGTTTTTACTGTATTTTTTAAATCAAATAAATGCAATTTTTAAGAAACGTAAAAAATCGAACCAACCCCAAACTTTTGAACAGTATGTAACTAAATGCGAAATATGGTTTAATATTGATTAATGTACATTTGGATCATCAATGAGCTACTTTAAACGCAAAATATGTAATCAAGTTGTCAAATATATTCCAACCTATTCAAAATGACTTCCCTAATTGGATGTTAATGTGAGAAAAGGCAAAGGTGTATGTATCTCTGCTTTGGAAAGCATTGGTATATTGTTATTAACTTAGTTTTTTTCTAATCTATCAATCATTTCACCTATGATACAAAGAAAGCTCATTTTTTGTAGATGGCGGGTATTGAGGCTTTATTTAGTCGTTTCTCTTTCTGATTAAACCGGAGCTCTAATCGTGTCTCAGGATTGGCTAAGAGGGATTTTACATCATGACTCAATCGTGTTAGTCTTCAGGTCTCCACATGTTTGATTACTGAGCCTTCAGATTGAAGCTCACTCTGGAACACTGATCACAGACCAGTTTTTCTTAGCTTTTTCATCATCATCTGATGAGAACCTCTCTGGAACAGCTCTTATTTCAGGCCGACCGAGTTGAAGCTGCAAGTGTAGAGTTATCATCCTGAGGCACGATGACACACCACTGCTCTAGTGGGCCGATTTCAGTCCAGATGAGTAATGGACAGGTGTGAGAGGAGGTTCAGACAGCCTAAAGGGGTTAGAAAGACTCATTTCAGCAAGCTACGTTGTGTAATAGGGGAGTACAGAAAGCACTAAAAGGCTCATAATCTACAAGTTTATAACATTGTATTTCCCCCCTATTTATTATTATTTTATAGTCATATTGAGATTTTCTTTGGCCACATTGTGTAGCCCAACAAACAAGCACAGTAAACCTGGAGCTTATTCTTTATTTGTTTTAAAAATAGCATTTTAAATCGCAATTTCGATGATTATAATCTTTTAACTCTTCTCGGCCCCCGGAATATTTTGTTGTATAAATATCTAAACATACAACATATCAACAAATATGTTTGACAGATTCAGAACGATAATCAAAGCATAGACCGAGTAGAAGTTTGCACAGTCCTGTACCTCTTCATGGGTTCAACATTTCATTAAGTAACGCTTGGCAGTTTTGATTTATATGCTGTTTGTTGATCATGTTAGCTTACATACTGTATGCATAAGCAATGCTTCCATCGCTTGTTTCTGCTGCTGCTTCTTCGCTTGTTTTTCGATCCCGAGATCCTTTACTCTTTCAGAAGATGCGTAATAGCGCCCCCTACCGTATAACAGTGAAAAACATGGATTGCCGGAAATTTCCGTCAGTGGTGGGGACAGAGTTAAGAGCATGAAAAAGTGGACAAAAATATTTTCTGATTTCAGTAATCAACACTGCTTTGTGTTTTCAGATTTCTTTTTTGTGTTTGGGTTGTAACATTTGTCTGTTTTTGTCTCTGTCTACAGGAGCATGCATTTGAGAGCAGTCAGAAATACAAAGAAGGAAAATTCATCATCGAGCTTGCTCATATGATCAAAGATAATGGCTGGGAGTGACCTTGGCCTACTTCCTCTCTCTGCTCAGTGACCTTTGGGCTGCTCTGTTGTGGACTTTGCCGAGTGACACCACCACACGCACACGTACACAAATGAAAATAAAACGCACAGACACGCACGCCAACGTCAACCATGACACATCTAGACTGGGTCATCACAAAACTCAAAGGCAGAGTGACGGAAAGCGTATCAAGGACATCTACGGTCACTGAAAGACTCTCTAGGGACCTTTTCGGAGATGTACATGTCAACACTTTGGGATCCGAACCTTCTCCCTTCCTGTTGGACTCAGTTTCCGCCCCATTAACTGGTTTCGGTGTGCTCGGCCCTCCTCGTAAACTGTTAACAGTATCCAGAAGACAGTCTCGTGTTTTTCGTTTTAACATCCTCCGCTCTTTTTGTGAATAAGCGGGGAGGTGTGCGCTCTAGTGTGTATACTTTCTTTTCGACGGGAATCTGGAGTCCTCCCTGGTGGACTGATGTTACTGGTTAGCATTTTTCTCCTTCTCTGAGCCCGACCCGTTCTGATTGTCTTTCCGTTCACGTTGGGGTAGCGACCGACGCGATTGACATGCGTTAGAGGCAATGTAGCAGTATATTTTGGATGGGGTGGGCGTTCAGCATTGCAGTGGCATAGCATTGTTTGTATTTATGATCTCCCTTGCGTTTTAACCATTTTATTTTTTTTTTCTTCCTCGGATGACTTCACTGTGCAATTCGCGGGACACTCTGGTACAACAGTAGCGTCTGACCCCTACAGGAGCTTTAGTTGCCTCTGGTGCTTTTGGTGAGATTACACAAACACGCGTCTTTGAGTTGGCATTTGTGGCAGGTTCCATTTTTGCTATAGGCGAGAGAAAAACACACGACAAGCTACAGCCGTTTGGATGCACTGGACATTTGGGGAAAACTGAAACTAGTGTCCTCCTCGGAACAATGTTTGCATTACGTTTTCATCCCCCGTCACGCCAAATGATTTTACAAAACTGTTGTTGATATTACAATCATGTGTATGTTCATTGCTATGTGTAATTTATGTGTTAAACCACATGTTAGGACATGCACACGCCATGTTAGCTCTGTGTGTTTTACGCATTATGTTTATGGCATACTTGAATGCAGTTACTTTGTTTGCACTTTGCAGAGGCCTTGTTCATGGGTTTAGAGGCAAAAGTCTGTCCATTGAATGGCCTTTTTTCATTGATAATAATCGAATGATTGTATGAGATGCTTTGAATGATTTGCAGGGTTGGGTGGTTGCTGGCTTGATCATCTCCCTCTCGTTTCAAACACACAAAATCGGCTGCTTTCGCTTTCTTCCACAGGCTGGCAGACCTGTTCGCTACGCTCGTAATTCGTTCAATTTGATGCGCGCATCACAAACAGGTCTCAAATTTAACAATCAGACACCATTCAAAGTGGCGTTACGTGATTCTTTTGCTGCTAATAGAGAGAAATGCAATCCAGAGCTTTCACTTTTGAACCTTCTGCACTTTACCCGGACTGTCTGAGAGCATGCGAGCCCATGCGTTCCTTTTGTAGCTTTTCTCCACGTCTTTGCCTCTAAGCAGCATGAATCTTGTGCCTCTTCAAAAGATTAAAAAAAGAAATCTCCCTCTCCTGTTGTTGTGCGGCGCATGACTCCGACGTCTCCGAGAACCCAGCACATCTACTAGAAGCAGGAGCTCGAACTCGAATAAACGACACGAACTTGGAAAACGAACCTCACAGAATCTCTATCCACTCGAAAGTCTATACCGAAGCATAATATAATCCAGTATTTTTTCATAGTTCTATGTCAAAGCTAGAGATGTTATGAAACAGCGGTTGTATCCTGCAAAGTATATAAAAGGGGGCGGGGTGGTTAGAGCGGGAGGGGGCGGAGCTTAAAAGAGGGGAATTCAATGTAGATTTCTATCAAGTATAACTATATATAATGAATGATATGAATAAATATCGAGGTTTTGTCGTGCTTATGGGCGGGTGGGACGGCGGGCAATAGTAGAACGAGTGGCGAACCCTCGTCACCGATAAGGTCAGTCAGGTCACGTGACCTTTTGAATCAGTCAAAGACAATGCAAACAAAATAGTTGTAGATATATCTTACTTGAAAGATGATACAGAGTTACAGACAATACATTGTCCCTCTCACACAGTTTTGTACATAAAGTAACATATTTAAGGTTTTATACATATTTCTACTGGGTTAGTTTCTCTACTTCCCCGACTTGAAGCACTTTTGTTCACTGTACCTTTGGCTTTATATGTGTGTGTATGAATGACGACAGAGTGAGTGTGTGTGTGGATGCATGTATGCGTGTTCCCTTACTTTCCTCACTTTATTTGTAGCCGTTTTTGCTGTTGTTCACTAGTTCCTCTGTGCTGTTTCCTTTATCACACTTCTTTTGCTGTCTCACAGCGTGTTTTGATGTGTGCTCTCTTAGCTTGATGATAATAAGCTTTGTTTTTTTTATATATTAAAGTTGCTTTTCATCCTTCGATAGTTTCCTGTTGAGAGCCTAATAGCAGAAAGTCTGCTGGTCGTGTTTTAGCATCATGGTCAGCGGTGAGCTGGATTCACCTGCCGAAATTTCACAATAGAAACGCCGAACCCAGAGCGTTTAAAAAAAAAAAAAAAAAAAAAACAGCTTTCCCTAAGACTTTCAGAATCAGAACTAGATCCAAGCCAGTGTCGCACTGTCAGTGTGCAGTCTGTGCACCAAAAATGATGAAACCTTTCAGCCGAGAGCGTTGTTTTTAACATAATACCAATTTGGAAACTGAATCACTTGGTCAAACCAAAAAGTGAGTTTGTGGCCTCTCTGAATACCAAGTGGGAATTTGTTAGGGTTTTTTAAATTGTTATTTGTCTTTTACAGCAACATATTGAGGTGTTGGCGGTAGAAAAGATTGTTTACTTCCCTTTTTTGCTGTTTCTTTTGGTGACACTGGTTTTTAAACATTTCTAGAGCTGTTAATTTTGAGATTTGTCATTCAAACGACATCTAGTTTAGGCGACAGTGGTATGCAAAGGAAACGATTGTATAAGTTTGCAGAGTTCTTTTCTTAGGACTGTTAAAATATAAGGTCTAAAGCATGTTGTGTTTATAATGGCTATATTAAGTCGTGCCTGGTTTTCTTTCTTTTTTTTTTTCAATGCTAAAAAAAAGCTTTTTTCTTCTTTTTACTTGATTACATTGCATTCTGTCCTAGTAAAGAAAAGTCACATTTGTCTGTTTTCACTGTATTGTAGACTATCCGATATCACAATAAAGCTTAAATGGTATTGTGGATTTGTTGGATCTTTTTTTATTTTATTTTTATATCTTAAAAAATAATCACAAGTATCCTTCAGCTGTCCTTTGTAAAAAAAAAAAAAATCATTACATTTTCTAGTCGTATCCATTTCTGTTGTAGGACTTTATTCTCCTGTTGATCAAACATCCTTACTAGAGTGTGTTTGGTCTATTAACACTCACCCGCTGTGCATGTTGGCTTAAAATTCAAAAGTGGTGGCATTAAAGCAATGCGTTCTCAGAAACGTTTGCAAATGCTTTTATCACTTCTGAGTCTCGTTGTCCATTTGCATTTGACTATTGCTGATATGTAGTTTCTGTAATATCTGATATCACAAAGGGATTTATATCATAATCTATTATGCAGGCTATTAAATAATTGAGCTTCAGATTCATTTAACTTGGAATATTCCATTATTCCAAGCATACATTTAGTTTATAAATGCATTTACAAGGTCTATGGGTGATTGTAGCATAGTGGGGGATTGACAGATTCTTATTATTATTTAATGTTTTAAGTTAAAGTTTTAAGTAAATGAATGCTGTATGCATAGTAATTTGAAGTGAAAGTATAGGGTCAAACCCTATAGGGTTCTATATGAGAAACATCTAAAATGATGTATTACAGGTCACATTTTTTTCTTAATGATAGAGTAGGTTTATGAGCTTTAATTAAAATAAAAAATTAATAAAAACTAAATCCATGATAGGAACCCCCAATTGTATATTAAGTTGTGCCTGACAGAACCCTTTAAGTTTCCATATAAGCCATTTTCTTCTTTCTTCTTTTAAACATGTATTGTCGACCTATAGACTTCAATGGTGTATTTCCTTTCAAATCTTTTCTGTTTTTATAAATTCAGGCACAATTTGAAATTACTTACTGTGGTAATCAACAGCATGCCTTAAATGTTGATAAGAGATGGTTATATTGAAGTAAAAGCATCTATCAGATATCGAAGTTGGGTGGTACACTAAGGAAAATAAAGCATTTAACGGTGTTTAGTCAGACCAGTAAAGAAGAGTTTTTACGTTAAAGTCCTTTAACCTGATTCATTGACCTGAAACCCAAGTCAGTCAGTGTGGACTATACACTCACCTAAAGGTTTATTAGGAACACCTGTTCAATTTCTCATTAATGCAATTATCTAATCAACCAATCAAATGGCAGGTGCTTCAGTGCATTTAGGGGTGTGGTCCTGGTCAAGACAATCTCCTGAACTCCAAACTGAATGTCAGAATGGGAAAGAAAGGTGATTTAAGCCATTTTGAGCGTGGCATGGTTGTTGGTGCCAGACGGGCCGGTCTGAGTATTTCACAATCTGCTCAGTTACTGGGATTTTCACGCACAACCATTTCTAGGGTTTACAAAGAATGGTGTGAAAAGGGAAAAACATCCAGTATGCGGCAGTCCTGTGGGAGAAAATGCCTTGTTGATGCTAGAGGTCAGAGGAGAATGGGCCGACTGATTTGCAACTTTGACTGAAATAACCACTCGTTACAACCGAGGTATGCAGCAAAGCATTTGTGAAGCCACAACACACACAACCTTGAGGCGGATGGGCTACAACAGCAGAAGACCCCACCGGGTACCACTCATCTCCACTACAAATAGGAAAAAGAGGCTACAATTTGCAAGAGCTCACCAAAATTGGACAGTTGAAGACTGGAAAAATGTTGCCTGGTCTGATGAGTCTCGATTTCTGTTGAGACATTCAGATGGTAGAGTCAGAATTTGGCGTAAACAGAATGAGAACATTACCACTGTGCAGGCTGGTGGTGGTGGTGTAATGGTGTGGGGGATGTTTTCTTGGCACACTTTAGGCCCCTTAGTGCCAATTGGGCATCGTTTAAATGCCACGGCCTACCTGAGCATTGTTTCTGACCATGTCCATCCCTTTATGGCCACCATGTACCCATCCTCTGATGGCTACTTCCAGCAGGGTAATGCACCATGTCACAAAGCTCGAATCATTTCAAATTGGATTCTTGAACATGACAATGAGTTCACTGTACTAAAATGGCCCCCACAGTCACCAGATCTCAACCCAATAGAGCATCTTTGGGATGTGGTGGAACGGGAGCTTCGTGCCCTGGATGTGCATCCCACAAATCTCCATCAACTGCAAGATGGATCCTATCAATATGGGCCAACATTTCTAAAGAATGCTTTCAGCACCTTGTTGAATCAATGCCACGTAGAATTAAGGCAGTTCTGAAAGCGAAAGGGGGTCAAACACAGTATTAGTATGGTGTTCCTAATAATCCTTTAGGTGAGTGTACGTCTGTATTCACACTAGACCTGTTTAGATCCTCAGGCTAATTAGCATATATGTAATGATTAAGCTTGAAATGTACAATCACTGAAGTAATTATTCTGTAATCAAGGGAATCCTCCACCACTAATGTCAAAACTGAATCTCTACTGTATGTAAACTTTAGTCACTATATCTTTGCATACCTGCTGAAGCAATTTATGTTCTTTTGCAACAGAAAAACAACAATGGAAAACTGAAACAGATTCAGGCCTGTGTTGAGAGTAAATCAACAAAAATTTTTGAGCCAGTATCAGTACTAAACATGCACACAACATTTGAAAGCCAGTGTGTTTTTTTTGATGGTTAATATCACTATCATAAGAAAACAGAACTTCTCTCTTACTATGTTTTTTTCCTCCTTTTATCATCAAGAAGCGTCTGCTCTGACACTTCGAGGTTGGCTGAACATCAGATTTGAATGTTCAACACAATAGTACCGTATTCATGTCTAGGCCTACTAATTTGTATGTCAAGACAAAATACGGCAGTTCAGTCATTTGGCAATGGCTCCATTTACTTGTAAAAAAAAATTGGCCTGATCTGGCATAGGTACTCAGTTAACAGCCGAACACGACAATCAAGTGTGTAAATATGGTCAAGTGACACACTAATGAAGAGCACAGGAGTAAGAGGTCTGGTGTTCGCCTTTGTCTTACCAACGGCTGGCATGACTCCAGATGGGGAACAAAGACCAGCGATGGCCGTTGAATAGATAAACCAGATATGTGATTTGCTCTCCCTCGCCACTGAGGACGTTCAACCTCTCACTCCCTTTTTTGTGCTAAGAATATTCTGTGGTTTCCTAGCGACCGGCGCTTTATTGCCGTGTGGCTTAGAGGCCGTTAAGTGTTTTTAGTTACTGACTAACAGATTTGCCAGTCTTTAAATAAAGACAGATGAGGAGTTGCATGAGTAACTTAATCAAAACAATGCCTTAATGTAGTTTGTACACTCGTTTTGTGGCTAAAACCAAGTAAATGTTTAGTATCCATATGC